CCAAAAACAACACAAAAGATAATCAATCACACGAGAAGAGAACAAAAGAGGAAAGGAAGAAAAAAGACCTAATAAAACAAATCCAAAATTAATAAAATGGCAATAAGAACATACATATGGATAATTACCTTAAAAGTAAACAGATTAAATGCTCCAACCAAAAGACATAGACTGGCTGAATGGATACAGAAACAAGGCCCATATATATGCCGTCTACAAGAGACCCACTTCAGATCTAGAGACACACACAGACTGAAAGTGAGGGGATGGGGAAAGGTATTCCATGCGAATGGAAATCAAAAGACAGCTGGAGTAGCAATACTCATATCAGACAAAATAGACTTTTAAATAAAGACTGTTACAAGAGACAAAGAAATATGCTACATAATGATCAAGGGATCAATCCAAGAAGATATAACAATTGTAAATATATATGCACCCAACACACGAGCACCTCAATATATAAAAGGCAAATGTTAACAGAAATAAAAGAAACTGACAGTCACAAAATAATAGTAGGAGACTTTACACCCCACTTACATCAATGGACAGATCAACCAGACAGAAAATCAATAAGAGAACACAGGCCTTAAATGACACATTAGACCAGACGGACTTAATTGATATTTACAGGGCATTCCATCTGAAAGCAGCAGAATACACATTCTTTTCAAGCGCATATGGAATATTCTCCAGGACAGATCACATGCTGGGCCACAAAGCAAGCCTCAGTAAATTTAAGAAAACTGAAATCATGTCAAGTATCTTTTCCAACCACAATACTATGAGATTAGAAATCAACAAGAAAAAACTGCAAAAAACATAAACATGTGGAGGCTAAACAATATGCTACTAAACAACCAACAGATCACTGAAGAAATCAAAGAGGAAATCAAAAAATTCCTAAACACAAATGAAAACAAAAACATGATGATCCCAAACCTGTGGGACATAGCAAACGCCGTTCTGAAAGGGAAGTTTATAGCAATACAAGCTTCCCTCAGGAAACAAGAAAAGTCTCAAACAACCTAACCTTACACCTAAAGCAACTAGAGAAAGAACAAAACACCAAGAAGGAAAGAAATCATAAAGAGCAGAGCAGAAATAAATGAAATAGAGACCAAGAAAACAGAAAAGATCAATGAAATTAAAAGCTGCTTCTTTGAAAAGATAAACAAAATTGATAAACCTTTAGCAAGACACATCAAGAAAAAAAGGGAGAGGGCCCAAATCAAAATTTGAAACAAAAAAGGAGAATTTACAACAGACATCACAGAAATATAAAGGATCACATGAGACTACTACAAGCAACTACATGCCAATAAAATGGACAACCTAGAAGAAATGGACAAATTCTTAAAAAGGTACAATCTCCCAAGACTGAACCAGAAAGAAACAGAAAATATGAACAGATCAATTACAAGTACTGAAAATGAATCTATGATTTAAAAACTCCAGAACACTAAAGTCCAGGACGAGATGGCTTCACAGGCGAATTCTATCAAATATTTAGAGAAGAGGTCCAAGAGGGAGGGGATATATGTATACATATATCTGATTCACTTCACTGTACAGCAGAAACACAACATTGTCAAGCAATTATATGCCAATAAAAAAATTAAATTAAATTAAAATAGGGAAGAGTTAACACCTATCCTTCTGAAACTATTCCAAAAAACTGCAGAGGAAGAAACACTTCCAAACTCATTCTATGAAGCCACCATCACTCTGCTACCAAAACCAGACAAAGATACCACAAAAAAAGAAAATTACAGGTCAATATCACTGATGAATAAAGATGCAGAAATCCTCAACAAAATATTAGCAAACCAAATCCAACAATATATTAAAAGGATCATATGCCATGACCAAGTGGGATTTATCCCAGGGATGCAAGGATTCTTCAATATAGGCACATCAATCAGTGTGATACACCGTATTAACAAACTGAAGAATAAAAACCATATGATCATCTCATTAGATGCAGAAAAGGCTTTTGATAAAATTCAACATCCATTTATGATAAAAAAAACTCTCCAGAAAGTGGGCATAGAGGGAATCTACCTCAACATAATAAAGGCCATATACGACAAACCCACAGCAAACATACTCAACAGTGAAAAACTAAAAGCATGTCCTCTAAGATCAGGTTTTGCGGTACGCGGGCCTCTCACTGCTGCGGCCTCTCCCATTGCGGAGCACAGGCTCCGGACTCGCAGGCTCAGCGGCCATGGCTCACGGGCCCAGCCGCTCCGCGGCATGTGGGATCTTCCCGGACCGGGGCACGAACCCGTGTCCCCCGCATCGGCAGGTGGACTCAACCACTGCGCCACCAGGGACGCCCCACTCTTGCCACTTTTATTCAACAAAGTTTTGTAAGTCCAAGCCACAGCATCACAGTCAAATGTCATTCAGTTCAGAGCTCAGTTTCCCTCATCAGCAGGACTCCAGACAGCTTACAGTTACAGCCCCAAGTAAGAGATATTAACATCATAATATGGTCATTCAGTAAATTCTCCAGAGGGTACCCCAAGCCTAGTAAGGAAAGGACACTTCCGGGCGGGTGAGTGCTCCATTCTGGACCCACTCCAGGAAGCAGCAGGGTCCTTTGGCCTAGGAATCAGAGATCTGGAGCTTCCCTCTGGCCCCAGGCTCTGCTGCCTCTGCTGTAATGTGGAGATGCCAAGCTATCCTTAGGCTGCCTCACAGCAGCCTGGAACTGAAGGGCAAATGACGCATGGGGAGTTTTGTGCAGTATGCTAGCCGTACAAAGGGAAGGCAGGGTCTGCAGACAAGAGAGGAGAAAGTGGTCTGGCCTGACCAGAGGTGCTGGTCATTTCCACAAGTCCAAGCTGAGCGCCTGTTCCATGGCTAGGAGCTGCACTCTGGAGGGATGCAGCTTACACCACTAAGGACGTGTTTCCAGACACCACCTGGCTTATCCAGCTCCCCCCTCCCCAGCACCCCACTCTCATTCTGTGTGGTAGAGGAGCAGAAATGAGAAACAGAGAAGGAGGGGAGGTGCAACTGGAAAATCTCCCACCTAGCTGATATCATGGCTGGAATTACCCTGTAATTCTCTGACTTCCAGGCATTACAACTATCAACTGCTCTATCACACTACTGAAGTTTCCATTAACTTTCTGTGCAGTTTTCTTAAACTTGGCTCAAAATAACCCCTCAGAAGTCTCAGAAATTCTGTCCTGTAAAATTTGAATTCAGGGATTGGCAAATTACAATCGACCCACAGGCCAAATCTGAGTGTTCTGGTGAATGCCGTCTTATTGGAACACAGCCACAACAATCTGTTTACATGTTGCCTAGGGCTATCTTCACACTACAAAGGCAGAGTTTTGTAGTTGTAACTGAGACAGGGTGGCCCTGGAAGCCTAACATACTATCTGGCTCCTTATGAAAAGTTTGCCAAACCCAACTCGTAATTCTACCTGCCTCAAAATACAACAGAAGAGAGTACAGTCCAAACCTGTTAAATAAACTACTCTTTCTTCAAAGTTGGCAAGGTTTCACTTTAAAAAAAAAAATTCTAACAAATCTCACTTTTACAGAGTCAGCATTTTTGCGTGTTGAACAAACCAAAAAAAAAGCATTTTCAGATTTATCATCAGCGGGAAAAGCATATTTTCCCACACAGCCATAAATCTATTATGCTGAACTACTTTACATAAACTCCTCAAAAACACATTGGCTTAAAGCTGAATCCACAAACACACCACTCTTGGCCCCAAAGCAATTTTCTGAAAGTAGAATAAGCTTGAGGGTGGGGCCTAAATAATACTCTTTTACATTAAAGTATATTCTATTATTAACACTAAAAATTAAACTACTGCGACAATGCAATTTCTGACCATGTTTATAGAAGTGTATAATCCTTCCTTATATGAAATAGTTTTCTGATAGTTTAAATACACTTACACAACTAAGCTAAGTATTTCCAAACACGTGAATCATTCAAAAGCAAAATCAAATATCTAACTGACACTTTTAAAAGAAAATGGGGTTACTCACGGAAATAAAGGGTGAGGATCCTTTATTTCCCAGCCCTCGACACCCCTTCGGGTTGGTGGATTAGCCCTTCTATGGTCTGAATATGGAGGAAAATATCTGCACATGGGAAGGGGTAACAAGAGCTCGTCCACCTTCCTTCCTCAGATGTTAGTGCTTTCTCCCTTTTGATGAAATAGGAAGTTGTTCTAAAGTAGGGATAAGAACAAGGACTTTGAGACATGGTGCCAAAAAAAAAGAAAGAAAGAAAAAGCAAGCTACTCATAAAATGTAGGCTCTAAAAGAAGTTCTATCCCTAAAATATAACCTTAAACCTTATGCCTGTGAGGAGAGTTCCCTCCACTGTTGCTACACTCCCTTCATCAAAAACAAATCCATCAGGACTTCACTGGTGGTGCAGTGGTTAAGAATCTGCCTGCCAATTCAGGGACATGGGTTCGATCCCTGGTCCAGGAAGATCCCACATGCCACGGAGCAACTAAGCCTGTGTGCCACAACTACTGAGCCCGCGCTCTAGAGCCCACGAGCCACAACTACTGAGCCCACGTGCCACAACTACTGAAGCCCAAGTGCCTAGAGCCTGTGCTCCGCAACAAGAGAAGCCACTGCAATGAGAAGCCCGCGCACTGCAACAAAGTGTAGCCCCCACTCACCACAACTAGAGAAAGCCCACGCGCTGCAACAAAGACCCAACACAGCCAAAAATGAATGAATAAATAAATAAATTTATTTATTTATTTTAAAAGAAAAAAATCCATCCATTCCAAGTTTAAAGGGAACAATTTGAGTATTTTGCTGTCATCTTTTCAAATCAGTTGTCATATGCCCTGTTCGGAAAAGTTCTGAAGAGAAAAATAACAAACTTGCCCTGACTGTCTTCACAGGGATCAAGCTTATGTAATGCCCTCTCAGTAAGCCAGTCCTAACTGCGTGCAAACTGCCAGCGAGGAGAACCTGCCCTGGCCCAAGATACAAACCTCCCGGCGAACGACATCTGCAGTTCTCTCCAAGTGATCAGTTTTCCTTTTGGATTTCATTACGCTTTAATAGAAAGTAAAATTAGGTTATTAAGTATTATCCTCCTGAAAATTAATTACACTAGTAATTATCGTGACTATCCAATACCTGTCATACCTGTAGCTGGAAAGCAACAGCATGACTATCCACAATACAATATAACATCATGGATCCCAGAAAGTGGCCCATGAAAATCTGCACGTCTAACTAAAGCTTAACGATCCACTGATAGCATGCACATGTAAGCAAGATGTTACAATATGCCTCCCATGATCATCAGCAGGTCAGGTCTTTTTGAAAATCAACCTCAAATGACACTGAAGGTGACAACTCACCTGCTTAGAGTAAGGTGGCGCAAAGCGCTGGGTGTCAGTCTACTCGAAGCAGCCTGAGCGCAGATGGCCCCCACAAAGCCTCGCAGCAACGTAGGAATCACGACAGCCATGGTGCTTCCTGGGAAACAACAAACTGAAAGTTAAAATATTTTAAGGAAAAGTAGGGAAATATCAGACTATCTTAGGGGCCAGTGAAGAAGAGTTTGGATTTTTGTTGCTGACATTATGAGCTGATCTAACAGCAAAACAATTGACCTCACCCTGACAAACTTTCTGCTACTGTATACAACTGATTCAACTGATCTCCACAGCACATACGTATGTAATTATGGTGTTCAAATATTCGTGTTCTCTATTAGTTTCCAAAATCTCTGACCAAACTCATGGGACTAATCTTCTGCTATTACAGAAGAGGACAGTAGATTTTATAACTGCCTAATAATTATATTCTGCCCAGAGCACCGCATAAGTCTTTAATATTTCTTGTTAGATAAAGTGAAAGGGACAGACAAATTTTCTGAGGTTCACGGCAATGAGAATAAACAAACTCCAACTACATGCAGTAACATAGGTATCACAAATATCACAGTAAATGAAAAGAATGAAAGAAGCCAGACTCAAAGAAGTCAGTCACACAGAGTACAAAAACAGAAAAAACGAATCTACGCAGTTAGAAATCAAGTTAGTAATTACTCCTGGTGAGGTGCCAATGACAATGTCTTTTCTTAATATGAATGCTGATTGCATGGGTATTTTCATTTTGAAAAAAGTTCATCAAATCACAGAGAAGTTTTGGGGCAGCAAAAATACTCTGCATGGTACCATAATGACAAAAGTCATAAACATATGTCCAAATCCACAGAACATACAACACCAAGAGTGAGCCGTGGTGTTAGACTTGGGGTGATTATGATGTATCAGTGCAGGTTCATCACTTATAATAACTGTCCCACTCTGGTGCAGGATGTGGATGCTGGGGGAGGCGATGCACATGTGTAAGCAGTGGGTGTATGGGGAATCCCTCTACTAGCCCCCAGTTTTGCTGTGAACCTAAAACTGCTCTAAAAAAAAAATCAAGTCTTAAAAATTCAATGAAGCAGTCCTCTTAGGATTTATGTACTTCTGTTTATATGTTACACTTCAATAACAAGTTAAAAAAAAAAAAAAGCCAGAAAGATTCTCCAACATTTCAAATTCTAAAAACTACTGGCCTATCAGGGAAAGCACTGATTGGAAGTCAAATGATACATTTTTTTTTTGCTTCCTATCACTCTGTTTTCCTCTGCCAATTTTTAACTATTTCTTTGCCTAAGATGGCCACTTTTAACACTTTATATTGCCATATATATCTGTCCTTTCCTATCTCAGTTGGCTTGAGAATAAATGAAAATGTATGTGAACACTCTATTTCCTGAGCTCTTTGGAAAGTACTACATAAATTAATTGTAACAAATACAGTGTTAGAAAAATATTCAAGTGAGGTGTGCTGCATTCCTACTCTACATTCATTAATTTAGCCCTTCATTTGACAAATATTTATTAAAGCCCATCACATGGCAGGTCCTGGGGATACAAATATGAACAAAACAAAGACCTTAGGGAGCCTACATTTAAAAGACAGAGACAAGAAATAAATAAAAGTAAGTAAATTGAGCAGTGATATCAGTCATATGTAATTTATTCAGTTATAACCAAATCATATCAAAAATCCACTGTTTCATAACTAGTCTTTAGACAAGATAAAAGATCTATTTCTTGCCACGCAGCATCACTGTGGATAAACATGCTACTCGCTATTTTTCTCTCTAGTAAATGAAATAAGTATAAGGCCTCTTTCACCTCATGTAAGACTACTACACGTAGTTTTTCTCCTTTGAATGTACTAAACCAAAAATGGTACATAAATCATTGAAAGAAAGAAAGCAAAACTTACTTTAGAAGTCCATGAGAGTTCAGGAGTCATTAAGAGTACGGCTGGCTGACTGACTGACATTCAATATTCTGGTCCTGCATTTACACTGAGACCTTTGGAATATATACACCAGTTGGAACACAGACAGTGTTTCCATATACTGAAATTCTCACAAAGTTCCTGCAATGGCAGAGACAACATATAAGAACGATGTTGGGGAAAATTAAAAAGCACTGTCTCTTAGTGGCAAAAGGAAAGGCTCATTGTAATCAGCAAGCATCACCACAGAGCAAGCCGACTCTCAAAGACCCCCTTTCCATTCATTCCTCCTCCTGTTTCCACTTTTCTTGTCTGATTGTCTTGCTGCTTCTCTCTTTCATCTTCCTTGACCGTCAGTCTGTAACTTCTGCTGCTTAGGGTATCCACCCCATGAACAACCAGCTCAATGGCTGGCATGATACAGTTACATGTCACTTGGGGTCAACTTCCCTGATAAAATTTAACCGATATGTAGGTACATACGGACACCCTGTTCTGCTCAATGTTTTGGACAACTACTGCTACAATAAGTTGTCCTCATCTAAGACACATATTTTAGTGATTATGCTGTTTGAACAGTCTACTGCTCAACTGAACTGGAAAACAAAGAAATGTTAATTTTTAAAAGCTGTTCTCTTTAAAATTCTAAAATCTTGTTTTGTAACAATAGTAACCATGACCAAGAGCGCCACCTATTGGTAAAAAGAAGGGTATTTCATCAAATTGTGTTCAAAGTGCCTTCCAAAGCAATAGGTATTTAAAGAAAAAAAACTACCCATATTTTGAAATATGTCCAGTGGTTTTATATATTCAATGTAAGTATTAATTAACTATGGAAAATTAACATATATTAAGTAATTTTCAAAACCATACAAAAAAGAATATTCCATCAATGTTTGTATCCTCATGGGCCTTACCTCACCAAAGTTATTTCTAAAACAGAGAAAAGTATCATAAATGCTAAATAAAACATTATCCATTTAAACAGTGAACTGCAAGCAACAGATAATTATGACACTATACATGTAAAATCCTGAAGGTGCTACCAAAAAACTACTAGAGCTCATCAATGAATTTGGTAAAGTTTCAGGATACAAAATTATACCCAGAAATTTGTTGCATTTCTATATACTAGCAACAAAAGATCAGAAAGAGAAATTAAGGAAACAATCCCATTTACCATCACATCAAAAAAAAAAAAAAATACCTAGCAATAAACTTACCTAAGGAGATAAAAGACCTGTACTCCGAAAACTGTAAGATGCTGATGAAAGAAATCAAAGATGACACAAACAGATGGAAAGATACACCATGCTCTTGGATTGGAAAAATCAATATTGTCAAAATGACTATATTACCCAAGGCTATCTACAGATTTAATGCAATCCTTATCAAATTACCAATGACATTTTTCACAGAACTAGAACAAAAAATTTTTAAATTTGTATGGAAATACAAAAGGCCCTGAGTAGCCAAAGCAATCCTGAGAAAGAAAAATGGAGCTGGAGGAATCAGGCTCCCTGACTTCAGACTATACTACAAAGCTCTGGTCATCAAAACAGTATGGTACTGGCACAAAAACAGACATGTAGATCAATGGAACAGGATAGAAAGCCCAGAAATAAACACACACACCTACGCTCAATTAACCTATGACAAAGGAGGCAGGAATATACAATGGAGAAAAGAGAGTCTCTTCAGTAAGTGGTGCTGGGAAAATTGGACAGCTACATGTAAAAGAACGAAATTAGAACGTTCTCTAACACCATGCACAAAAATAAATTCAAAATGGATTAAAGACCTAACTGTAAGACCAGGTACCACAAAACTCCTAAAGGAAAACATAAGCAGGACACTCTTTGACATAAATTGCAGCTATATCTTTTTGGATCTGTCTCCTAGAGCACGGGTCCCCAACTGCCCCGCCCCACCCTGGGTCGCACAGCAGGGGGGAACCAGGTCGCACAGCAGGAGGTGAGCAGCGGGGGAGTGAGCGAAGCTCCATCTGTATTTACAGCCGCTCCCCTTCGCTCACATTACCGCCTGAGCTCCGCCTCCTGTCAGATCAGCAGCTGCATTAGATTCTCATAGGAGCACAAACCCTACTGTGAACTGTGCACGCAAGGGATCTAAGCTGCATGCTCCTTATGAGAATCTAATGCCTGATGATCTGAGGTGGAGCTGAGGCAGTGATGCTAGCACTGGCGAGTGGCTGCAAATACAGATTATCATTAGCAGAGAGGTCTGACTGCACAGAGACCATAATAAATCAATTGCTTGCAGACTCATATCAAAACCCTATCAGTGAGTGACAGGTGACAATTAAGCTGCATCTGGTGGCAGGCTTTATAGTGGCAAGTGAGTTGCTGTACTTCAATTGTACAGCTGCATCTAGTGGCAGGCTTTGAGTCAGAATCCAACACTTATTTAGTCCACGCGTGGCCCACCCATTATTTTATTTACCACTTCCATTGTGCCTCCTTCCCGCACTGCGCACTTGTCGCAGTCAGAGTTTTGGTAAGCCCACAAGCTAACCCTAACCAAAATGCATAAAAAACAAACGTCTCTGGAGAGCTTCTTTGAAAATGGGGAAAGACCCAATGATGAGAAGGCAGAAGGCTCTAAGACTGCCAACAGAAAGAAAGCTGGATTTAAAAGGAAATACCAAGAGTCCTACATAATTACGGGTTCATTGCAACAGGTTATTCACATTCTTCAAGCCTGCTTTTGTATAATATGTGGCAACTGGCTATCCAACAAAGCCATGAAACCTTCAACTGCTTCGCCACATGGAGACCAAGCACCCTGCATTAAAAGACAAGCCTTTGGAGTTTTTCAAAAGAAAACAACATGAACACGAAGAACAGAAGCAGTTATTGAAGGCCACCACTTCATCAAATGTGTCTGCACTGAGAGCATCTTTCTCAGGGCCCAACCACATTGCTAAAGCTAAGAAGCCCTTTACTATTGGTGAAGAGCTGATCCTGCCTGCTGCTAAGGACATTTGTCGGGAACTTTTAGGAGAGGCTGCAGTTCAAAAGGTGGCATGTATTCCTCTTGCAGCTAGCACCATAACTAGATGAACTGATGAAACAGCAGCAGAGGATACTGAGACACAATTGTTAGAGAGGATTAATGAGTCACCGTGGTATGCAATCCACGTTGATGAGTCTACTGATGTTGACAACAAGGCAACAACGTTTGTTTTTTGTGCAATATATTTTTCAGAAGGACGTGCATGAGGATAAGTTATGTGCACTTTTCTTGCCAACCAACACCACAGCTTCAGAACTATTCAACTCTTTGGACTTACCGGGACATATCAGGAAAACTGAATTGGTCATTTTTAAAAATTAATTAATTAATTAATTTACTTTTGGCTGCACTGGGTCTTCACTGCTGTGTGCGGGCTTTCTCTAGTTGTGGCCAGTGGAGGCTACTCTTCGTTGTGGTGCATGGGCTCCTCATTGTGGTGGCTTCTCTTGCTGTGGAGAATGGGCTCTAGGCGCACAGGCTTCAGTAGTTGTGGCACATGGGCATGTGGGATATTCCTGGACCAGGGCTTGAACCCATGTCCCCTGCATTGGCAGGTGGATTCTTAACCACTGCGCCACCAGAGAAGCCCTGAATCGGTCATTTTGTGTATATGTGCCGACGGAGCACCTGCCACAACTGGACAGCTTTCTGGTTTCACCACTTGGGTCAAAGAGGTCGCTTATGAATGTGAGTCTATGCACTGTGTCATCCGTAAAGAAAGGCTGGTTAGCCGAAAAATATCACCTGAACTTAACGTTTTGCAGGATGTGATTAACATTATCAACCACATTAAAGTACATGCCCTTAACTCCCATCTGTTTGCGCAGTTCTGTGAGGAGATGGACACAGCTCACACGTCTTCTCTTATACACAGAAGTGAGATGGCTTTCTAAAGGTAGATCACTGGCCAGAGTTTTTGAGTTACAAGAGCCGCTCCTGAGATTTCTTTTAGAAAAACAGTCACCACTGGCACTACATTTCAGTGACATAGAATGGGTCGCAAAACTTGCTTACTTGTGTGACATATTCAACCTGCTCAGCGAACTCAATCTGTCACTTCACAGGAGAATGACAACTGTGTTCAAGTTGGCAGATAAAGTGGCTGTATTCAAAGCCAAACTGGAATTATGGGGGTGACAAGTGAACATTGGGATTTTTGACATGTTTCAAACATTAGCAGAGATTTTGAAAGAGACTGAGCCAGGGCCTTCTTTCTCCCACTAGTGCATGATCACCTATCTCAGCTTTCAAAAGAGTCTGAGCATTACTTCCCAATTCCAAAAGACTCCCGAACCGGGAAGGTATGGATCCGTGACCCATTTGTGAATAAGCCAGGTGAATCAACTTCGTCCGTGCTAGAAGAGAATCAACTGCTTGAGATGGCAAATGACGGTGGCCTCAAAAGTATGTTTGAGTCAAATTCAAATCTCCATACATTCTGGATTAAAGTCAAGGCGGGATATTCTGAGATTGCCACAAAAGCACTGAAAAGCCTGCTTCCATTTCCAACATCCTATCCTTGTGAAGCAGGGTTTTCTGCAGGGACAGCAACCAAAACGAGATCATGGAGTAGAGTGGACATAAGCAACACACTTCGGGTGTCCCTGTCTCCCATCACCCCCAGATGGGACCATCTAGTTGCATGAAAACAAGCTCAGGGCTCCCACTGATTCTGCATTAGGGTGAGTTGTATAATTATTTCATTATATATTACGATGTAATAATAATAGAAATAAAGTGCACAATAAATGTAATGCGCTTGAATCATCCTGAAACCATCCCCCCACCCCACCCCAGTCTGTGTGACAATTGTTGTCCACGAAACCAGTCCCTGGTGCCAAAAAGGTTGGGACCGCTGTCCTAGAGGAACGGAAATAAAAACAAACAAATGGGACCTAATTAAACTTAAAAGCTTTTGCACAGCAGAGGAAACCATGAACAAAATGAAAAGACAACCTACAGAATGGGATAAAAAA